CAAAGTCCCAAGGCATAAAATATATGGGCAACCTGTGTATAAAGACCACCTGCCTATAGTGACCACTTTTAGACAGTCTCAGGGCATAACGTATGAGCAACCTGGAAATAAAGACAACCTGTTTATAGTGACCACTTTCAGACAGTCCCAAGGCATAACATATCAGCAACCTGTGTATAAAGACCACCTGTCTATAGTGACCACTTTTAGATAGTTGAGTGAATATTTTATATTTAGTGAATAGTTTGCTCTTTGTTATACACGGTTATATGTGAAAACAAAGCTGGTGGTTACAAACCTAATTTATGAGATACATTGTATTTGTACATGAAAATTACAAGGGACTCTAGCCTTTTCAACACCAGACTTTCTCGCCAAAATTTTTCTGCACATTTTTCTAATATTTTTCAATATTTCTAGAAAATAACCCTAATTTTGGAGCCAACAGACAAAATTTGAGTCAATTTTCAGTTTTCACACAAAAAAAATGTGGCTATTTTTTATTCAATCTTCTGAAGGAAAGTGCAGACTATAAACAGGACTATTTTGTGAATTTGTGACGAAAAGAGGGAACTGGTGGTGAAAAGGCTAGAGAAGCAAGTAATCGAGCACTAGGCAATTAGGAATTTGTTTTAACTCGGAACAATGAAGCAATGTGTCCGCAACCATATTTCATGTACACATCTACTTAAGTCCATACGGTCATCAAATTTGCCTCACTGTTTAATTTTTTTGTCCGAAGTTTTTTTTCTCTCATGAGATAAATTGTCACACAAAAATAAAATAAAATCCAAGTGACAAAAGGTGTAGAATGAAAATTCAAACATAATAAACATTTGAGTACTGTCTCCACTATAAGGGGAGCAAAATACATCATTTCTGTCATTAGTTTCACATAGATGTGTAATTTGCTCATACTTTCTAAACTGATGGACCAATTCCACCCACGTATTTAATTCCTGCTGAGAACACTTAATTTGGCAATTTCTGCAGTTTTCCATCTGCTAATTTGTGCGCAACAGAACCCACTCTCATTCATCACACAGAATGCAGATAAAATTAATGCTCTTTTTTACATAAAAAAAAGAGCACATATTTCTGTGTGCATACTGGTCACCAAAGAGATCTGCACATTCAGTTATTGTAGATTTCACACAAAATGAATAAATACTGTAAAAGGATTAATTATTCATTGGGTTTTAATTTTGCTTATTTCGCTGACTTGAAAATGCGCTAAATTAAAACCCAGGGAATATGTAAAATTTAGCATGGAATACATTATCTAAATGACGAAACCGTGAATTTAAAACCCACTGAATATGTCTGAAATGGTAAATCAGTGAAATTTAAACTCACTGAAAATTAGTCGTTTTACAGTAGCAATATTAATATAATTATAGTTTTCAGCGCTGAAAATGACAGGTTACTTGAGCACAAAACTACAAAAACACAAAAAATAAATCAACCTTAATAACAAAGCATACATCATAATTATCCAATACAAGAATACAAGTCGTATATTTTACTTAGATACATGTAACAAACTACCATAAGCCTAAATTTTTGGAACAGGAATTTCTTAAAACTTTGCTAAATTATTTTCTGTGATAGACCATTTTAAATCCTGTAAAAAAAAAGTGTAGCCATCCAAACTAGTGTTTGAACTTTGAACTATGAATCTCAGTTCACAATATGTAAATTTTCCAACTCAAAATGGCCGCTAAAGTAACACTACAGGAAAATAGTTAAATCATTGTTTCCCTGGAAACAAGTTAACATATCGATTTTATTTTCATATCTCTGATAGAAGCATGTACTTAGTAAAATAACGACAATTATCGATGTTAGCATTTTTAAATTTTACATATTCCCAAAAGCGGTGGTATTTACACTATGAAAATGTGCAGGAATCATGTTTCCAACTGCACTAAGCTTTACCCGACACTCCCACCCACCACTTTTGGGGCATATTTTTTTCAGGTTCACATTCAGCTAAGCACCCAACTTCTCCAAAATGTCCAAATATTACAGTTTGGTCATAAAACCTGGTATTTGGTCATTGTCTGATGATTCTAATAATTTCAACATCATAAATTCTGGTACATTGTAGTACGCAATTAATATTCACATACAACGGGCATATCTTTTGTGACTATTAATGATGACGCAACTAATTTCAAGGCAGTACGGTGATTGAATTTATTCCTAAGACGTAATATTTTGTTGAAACCAGTACGTAGTGAACTAAAATTGCTATTTCATATGTTTTCGAGAGGGGGATGCTCAGCTAAGCACTCCCCTTAAAATACATGATTTTCAGAGCTGAGTACCCTGGATGCTAACGCAGACAAGTACGGTAGTTATTCAGATAATATGGAAATGTACGGAAATAAAAAAAATCTCATTTCAGGATATGTACAGATAATTTTAGACATTATCAAGATTATTAAGTTATTAATTACAAAATAATTCCATTATGACGCTTCACTATGTGTTGATTCATGGTATCACGACTCATCTGTGTTTCTGCGAGGAAATAAAGTTCCTTGGATAAAATCAAATTTCAAAAAACCAAACTCCCTCATGTTCCATTTTTAGTAAAAAATCCAAATTGATATTATCACTGATCCATCCTTGTATTTTCATAATAAAATGTACATGCAATTCTCAAAGCGAGTATCATCGAATTAATAAT